ATGAGATTTTCTTTTTTTTCTCATTTTGTCTCTCATAGTTGAGGTATACCTAAGATGAAAATTACAGGCCTCTCTCATCTTCTTAAGTGGGAGAACTTGCACAATTGGTGGCTGACTAAATACTTTTTTGCCCCACTGTATGTCTGGTTTTTGCACACTGGGACACGGTTGCACTCTGAATCTAGTTGTATTTTTTGTACAATGACAATAAAAGGCTTTAACTTTTAACTTTAACTAAATGACGTTGTAGCCTAAAAAATATGCTTTGTATTTTGATTCAACCAGAGCGTTTCCAATGCTTGTGTGACAGGAAACAGATCAGGAGAAGCGTGAAATACGATCGTGTTCTAATTTTTCTGATTATTAGAACACTTCACGAATGCAGCACGAATGCTACCTAGATTTTAAACATCTTGTGCTGAATGTGAAGAAGACTGAGGAGATGGTGTGGGACCCGAAGGCAGTGGGTGACCTCAGGCCGGTAGTTATCCACAATGAACCCATAACTCAGGTCCGCTCCTATAAGTACCTTGGTGTTCATCTAGATAGTACACTCAGCTGGAGGGTGCATGTTGAAGGTTTGTGCTCTAGACTTCCACAGCGGTTGTATTCTTTGCGTAGACTCCTGGCTTACAGAGTCGAGCAGAAGTTCTTGTTATTTTTTACCATGCAGTGTTGGAGAGCACCATAAGATATGGTATCACTGCCTGGGATGGTAAATTGACAGTGCAGTCAAAGTCACAGATCGCTGAAAATGATCAGGGTTAAAAAACATCCATCTCTCCAAAACATATATGAGTCATGTCTGATCTCCCCCACATTCCCCACCCATAATTACAGCTCCTACCTTCTGGTAGAAGATTCAGGGTTCCCAGGAGCAGGCTGAACTGCTATAAGCAGTAATTCCTGCCTCTGTCCATTGAGCTGCTCAACACTCACATGTCATGTAATACTCTTTTAAATGTTGGCCATGAGGGTTGAGCAATAGGTCGCCATTGTCAGTATTGAATCTTTATTCATGTCAACATATTTAGGATTACTGGTGATGCACTGAAGAGAACTTTTATGGGGGCAGCACAAACTGACAACATGAATGCACTGCAACGAAGAAATTACGTGACATTGGAATCAAAAACGCCAAAGATCATTGTGGGTTGTCGTACAGACTAGCACACTCAGATTAGTCTGGATGATCTGATATATCCAATTGAGGCTTTACGGTAACCAAAATGTATTAACATATATAAAAAGATAGAGAGATACAGAGGATTGGTCAGCATTTTAAACACAGAAGAAAGAGGAGGGGATGAAATCCATTAATTAGACCCAGAAGAGAGGTAGGGGAGGGAGGACAAACAGGGTAATAAAAGTGAGTATGATGAGACTCGACGGGCTAAAAAGAAGACGCGCTTAGAATTTAATTTGGTGTTAAAAAAAAGGCTTAATAGCCCGTGAAATAAACAACAATATGAAAACCGTGGGCAAAATATGAAGCTGAGATTAAACCATAATTTAGTATAACAGAGAGAGGCTCATTCACTAAAACACAGTGAAGAGGAATCTTCAATTGTGCATGGCCTTAGATTCTTTCCTAAATAAAAAAAAGATGCTTCTCTGAAGATATGAAGGGTTTAGGAAGTTTACCTGCAGTTACCTGATGACACATGCAGATACGCCTGTTTAGAGTAACAGATTAGATCCCTTCGAGGTGCTTCCATATAATCTTAAAGGAGCGGGCATAGATATGGGTTAGCCACACTATGTAGAGTATTGGCTTAAGTAAAGTTACACTATCATTAAAGAAAACTATTCAAAGATTAAAAGGTAAAAGTACTCCAGCACAGAAATAGAATATTAATATACCCTGTATACCCATGCTGAGTTATGTACAATTCGTTCCAAATCAAGCTAACATCAAGCATCATAAGTATAACCAGTGGCGAGCCGTCAGGGCCCTCTAGGCCCTCCCTGAGGGCCTAAGATATTCTACAAAATAATATTTAAAAACATTAAAAAATATATATATATTTGTTGTAATATATATTTTTTCAATATTTTTTTAGTTATATTTTTCTTTAGTTTTACCAAAATAACTTGATTTAATTGTATTTAAAATAACATTTCCAAAGAAATAAATCCTTCGAATCTACCTATTCAGTTTCTGTTGGAATGTGAAGGGTAAATGAAAAAAGCTCCTTTGACCGTCTCTGCGAGTTACTGTGAAGATAGGAGCTGATTGGTGGTCCAGCTATGAATTCACAGAGGGCCCACTATAGAGAGGCAAAGTCCCTCCCTTTCCGGGGGAGCTCCATGGGACCTTATTTCGGAAAGAGTATGTATTGAAGTCAACGGAGAGAGAAAGATTATGTTTCGATCCCGTTTGAATTGTGCCACGAATTACACATATGATGTTTTGTCAATTTAAAAGATAATTTTGCAAGTAAAAACAATAAAAATGTGTCGTAAAACTGTGAAGTAACCAGTGTTGGGCAAGTTACTTTTAAAAAGTAACTAGTAATAGTTATAGTTACTGCTCTCAAAAAAGTAACTAGTTACTTTATTAGTTACTAAATTATAAAAGTAACTAGTAACAAGTTACTTTACTTTAAAGATAATAACAATAAAAATCCAAGTTTTTGTGTTGTTTTTTGCTGACTAGTTCTCTGAAGGCAACAGACTCGACCGTTGCGATGGGCAGCATGTCCTCAACAACATACCTGGCAATCAATCTGTTTAGTTGACTCTGGGTGACATGTGGCGATTTAAAAAAGTAGTTTTTTGGCTGTTTAGACGGTGTTGTGTTTGTGTGTGCTGGTGGTGAGCGTTTCCGTGTGTCGGGCCCGGCACCACAAGGGGGCAAAAGGGGGCATCGCCCCCTCAGTTGTATTCTTTGCCCCCTCACTTTGAGCATCATTCATCCATCAAAANACAAGAACGGTGAGCAAAAATCCCAGAACCACACGGGGGGACCTAGTCAATGACCTGCAGAGAGCTGGGACCAAAGTAACAAAGGCTACCATCAGTAACTGTTACTGATGGTAGCCTTTGTTACTTTGGTCCCAGCTCTCTGCAGGTCATTGACTAGGTCCCCCCGTGTGGTTCTGGGATTTTTGCTCACCGTTCTTGTGATCATTTTGACCCCACGGGGTGAGATCTTGCGTGGAGCCCCAGATCGATGGAGATTATAAGTGGTCTTGTATGTCTTCCATTTTCTAATAATTGCTCCCACAGTTGATTTCTTCACACCAAGCTGCTTACCTATTGCAGATTCAGTCTTCCCAGCCTGGTGCAGGTCTACAATTTTGTTTCTGGTGTCCTTTGACAGCTCTTTGGTCTTGGCCATAGTGGAGTTTGGAGTGTGACTGTTTGAGGTTGTGGACATGTGTCTTTTATACTGATAACGAGTTCAAACAGGTGTCATTAATACAGTTAACAAGTGGAGGACAGAGGAGGCTCTTAAAGAAGAAGTTACAGCTATGTGAGAGCCAGAAATATTGTTTGTTTGTAGGTGACCAAATACTTATTTTCCACCATAATTTGCAAATAAATTCTTTATAGGTGTAGAGGTATACCTAGGATGAAAATTGCAGGCCTCTCTCATCTTTCTAAGTGGGAGAACTTGCATAATTGGTGGCTGACTAAATACTTTTTTACCCCACTGTACATAACATTAAAAACACGGCAGTAGGACAGACAACATAAACAATCATACGGGGGGAATAAATTGTTAAAAATATAGATATCAAAATAGTTTTTAATTTTTAAAGTGCATTAAAAATGTGTATAAGGTGTATATGTGTGAAGATGATTACGTTTATTGCATTAAGTTTGGTTAAGCAGCCTTAAGGTTCCAGGGGTAGAAACTGTTTTTTAGTCTGTTTGTCCGTGACTTGAAGCTCCTGTATCTCCTCCCAGAAGGCAGGAGAGAGAACAGTCTGTGACCTGGGTGAGAGCTGTCCTTTATTATTTGATTTGCTCTGCTGAGGCAGCGGGAGGTGGAGATGTGTTCCAGAGAGGGCAGGGGGCAGCCGATGGTTGTCTCTGCCATCCTTATCACTCTCTGCAGGGCTTTCTTGTCCGCAGCTGAACAGCCAGCATACCACACCGAGATGGAGTATGACAGCACGCTCTCGATGGTCGCCCGGTAGAAGAACACCAGCAGCTTCTTGTTCAGTCTGTTCCTCCGAAGCACCCTCAGGAAGTGTAGTCGCTGCTTGGCCATCTTAACTGCTGCAGTATTGTGTGCTGTCCAGCTGAGGCTCTCCGATATTTGTACCCCCAGGAATTTAAAGGTGGAGAACCTCTCCACTCTCTCTCCATTGAGGTGAAGGGGGGCGGGTTCTGGACGGTGTTTTCTGAAGTCTTAAAGCTCATGTACAAACCGAAGTCGGAAGAACCACTTCCGACAGTAATTCTGGAAATAGGACCATCTGAGAAGCACTTGCTGTCCGTATAAACTCGACTCGCACACTCGTTTAAGACAATGATTCCAACTGACTCATTAATTGGTTGTCCAGCTTCCCATGTTTTTATTAAACAGGCTATGGTGTTGAGTGTCCAGCACCGAAGTAGCAGTAACATGTGCAGTACCCTAAACTATAAGTGAGAAAAGTCTGAACTTCATGAGCTCTGGGGCTTTTGAGCCCATCACTGATTTCAAAAGATTGTTTTGTTTTTAATAACTATTCTTAGAGCCTGTGTCCAAATAGCACAATTTTCTGTCCTCTTCACTTTCATCAGGAACATGCTCCAGCTCCACATTATCTTCACTGCTGTTGTATGACAGAGTAGTTTTGCCCCCTGGCCTTTTATTATCTATTTAAGCTACTATATTCCATGTTGTATGAATGAGCTTCACCACAGTCTGATAGCTGTAGAGCGAGGAGGACGATCCGTGTACAGCCATACAATTCCAACACTCCCTGTTACGACAATCTGGCATTTCAGTCTTTGTTACCGGAGATTCCGTCTGAAAGACGTTGTAAAAAATCAACTTTTCCTTCAATTTTTACAAAGACATGAGAAGCGCTTTTCTGAGAAGTGCTGAGAAGCAGCGCATGTGCAATGGCATGCATTCTCTTCTCATCGGAAACAGTTAAAAAGATGCTGGTGTCAGAGAAAGGTGCTATGTACACTAGATGTTTGGAGTGAACCACATGGCATAGTGTTAGTTGCAGATAGATTTGTATTGATTGCAATGTCAGCTCTCTGTAACCCTTCCTCCTCCGCAGAGCGTTGGTGTGAGCGGTATGGAGAACTGCCGGGGGAGCTGCTGAGCGTGGAGCTGGAGAAGGAGCGCCAGGGGCTGGGTATCAGTCTGGCAGGAAATAGGGATCGTTCCCTCCTCAGCATCTTTGTGGTGGGACTCCATCCGGGGGGGCCGGCAGCTCGAGACGGACGCATTCGGGTGGGAGACGAGCTGCTGGAGGTGAGAACATCGACATGATGGATCCCCCTGAAACTCCATACAGACATTCTTGTTCTCTTGATCCCCAGACTTCTCCTGTAGCACCACCATAAGGTCCACCTGGGGATGAAGTGAAACATCGTAACTGTTGTTTTGGTTGTATTCAAATATACCCACATTCATGTTCTCCTGAAGATTAAATGCCATCATCAGCAACCATCATCAATATGTGATTCTCTACCGTTCCTCCCAAAGCTATTGTACTGTTTAGCATGCTAACCTGCTAAAACTCATCACATTACGCCAGTGACGTGCGGTGAGGTTCATGGCTGGTGAGGCATGAATTTGTAAATCTGACTCATATTATATTTTGACCTTAATCGAAATATTCGGCTATTTTCAAAAGCTTTTTTAGTCTGATGCTTCAATTCATTTTAAACAGACCTTTCAACAAAAGGATACCCAACATCTAAATATTGGATTGTTCTTTCTTAGTAAGATCCCATTTTCATTACAATTGTGGTCTTACCTTGACTTGAAGATGAAGTCCATGCTCTCCTTCTGGACAACAATCTCTATTAGTTTTTTGTAAAAGTCCTCCTTATCTTCCTGTAATTTCAAAAGTCTAGTTTGTTGTTTGTGTCTACCGTCTCTGTGTAGAATAACAGTAGCAACAAGAACCTGTGGGCTCATGTGCGCCCCCTTCAGTGCGGCAGAGGTTATGGCTGCCTCTCCTGCTGCTTTTTTCTTGCTCCCTTATATGATGAGACCAGCGAGCCTAAATATCATATATACGTTAATAAGTTATTTAGAGACTATGGAGTGGCGAGAATAAATGTAATAAAGGGATCTACAGAACATTACATTGGTGACCTATCAGTGAGATGGTAACAGGCATGCCGGCTTAGTGCCCGCTGGTTCCAGCCAGTTTCTGGTGGGGTGACGCATTCTGAGGTCGAGGCAGAGCTCATCTGGTAGCCCACCTCACCCACAGTAACGGCTTGAGCGCGCTCACAAAAAATGCCCGCGCTAATTATGTGCCCGCGCTCCAGCAAGTTATATGGGTTACGAGAGGCAGAGCTCGTCCCTGCCTCCATTACATCAATGCTACCCGTAGTTGTAGCGGAGCTCAGCACATTTGCAGATTTTGATTTTAAAAAGCGAAATTGGAATCATCATAAATCACACTACAACAAGATTCAGTGGAGACCATTTATTATTATTACTATTTAGTTTTTCTGTTA